ACTGGGAGGCTGGAGCAGGAGAATCACAGTGAGACTCTAAAAAATCTTGTGTCATCCTCTCACGTGCATACCTTCTCTCACTCGCTCTTAAAAAAAAAAAAAAAAAAAAACTTTAGTTTTTCTCTGTATTTTTCTCAAAAATCATCCTTACCTATTGTTTCCTAATGCTAGTGGTTTTGAAAAATATTTGGGAGTCTCCTACCATACTTTCAAAATGCGTATCATGACTGCAGAACAAAAGCTGACATTGCTTACAACCTCTACCCAATAATTTAATAGTAATTGATATAAGTAAACCACTGAAATAGTAGATAAATTTCACAGTCCACCTAGAGAGTTACATTTATTCCACTATCCTGTTGATCAGATTATCTTAATAAACTATGTGGATCTATTGGAAAACAGATATTATCTCATTAAAAATAGAGACTAATAATATACTCAAAAGTAGCTTTGAAACTGGTAAACTATGCAAAGTGAAGAATGACTATTCAGGTATTGCAGAAAGGAAAGGAAAAGATGAGTAACATCTTTTCACTTTCATAGTAGCTGTCATGAAAGAAATCTTTATAATCATTTTACTCATTGGTAAAGGAGAAATTTAAGCATTCATTTTCACAATCAGTAGGATAACAAATTAACTCTCTGTAGTGGAAAGAGTTTGACATATATGACCATTCAGTCTGAGTCTAATAGTTACTATCAATCTATCTTTCCCCAACTCAGTAGTACTCTGAATATTCCAGTTCTGAGAAGCAGATTCCTTTTTCAGTCCTCTGTTGATGTTATCAGAACATGTGGAATTATAGTGTTGTCAGGAGTTTTATTCTTATCCAGATAATTCGTTTGTGTTTTGGTATCTCTTTAAAGGATAAAGCATCTATACAACATCATACTCCCCAACCCCATTAAAATCTTCTTTATCCTGTAACAGAGTTATGAGTTATTATGTTTACATGGCCAAATTATATGGGTTTTCTTTTTAGGTTCACTTTAGCAGACACATTTTCCCAGGGAAAGACATTGTTATTGGTCATAGCAGTAGGTCTAATTCCTTTCTCATATGTTTATTTTTGAGGAACTCCCACAGTCTGACTTGGCCTTAACCATAGACAGAAGTTTATTTTGTATGATTTGTGTACGTGTGTGTGTGAAAGAGAGAGAGACAGAGAGAGACAAAGAGAGAGGTTCAGGGTGGTGGTGATAGAGTAGGAAATAAATCTTGTTTTATACAAACATGTAAGAGAAACCTCGAATATGCTAAGCCATATCTTACCCAAAAATACTTGATTGATATCAGATTCTTTCTTAAAGCAAGTTTTGATAAGTCAAGACTTGAGATACTGTGAGATCATCTGGCACCGTAAAGGGGGTTATGAGAGATCACACAAAAGAAACCAACATCCAGGATCCATCATGTGTCCCTCTATCCACATTCTGCCTAAGGGAGACCTCCCCCGACTTCCAAAGAATTTTAAATGAGTATTTGTAAACTCTTTATCTTCTAACCTCAGAACTATTGTCAATTCAATAACTCTTTTCCTTATTTCTTTAAATTAAAAGGACTCTAATTTCACAATTACCACTGCTACCCACCCTCCAGTCCAGGGACCTGTTTCTTTGAAACCTAAACAAGGTCCTTCTATATGTTTTTACTTTCAAGTTCATGCTGTAATTCCTGCCATGCTCAGAGCCTCAACTTATCTGAACACATCACTGCAATGTTGAAAACATTCAATACTTATTGTCTTCTGGCATTTAAGACTATTCACAATCTGGCCCCTATTAACTTTCAAGATTTTTCATACACTATTCTCCTAACAAAAAGTGTTCATCCTACCCATTCTACAGTATTATGTAGGAAACACCCCCTAGAAGTTTTATAGAAGTCACGCCTACCTTCTGTATATGGTTTGTTTGTTTTTTGAGAGAGAGAAATTTTTGCTATAAAGCACGTGGGCTCACCATAGAGACAGAGAGGCAGTAGCAAAAAATCACCTCCAGGGGAGATGGCCACACTGCAAACTCTTCTCCTCTATTCTCCTCTTGGGATTTTGGGCACACAAACACAAATGTGCCTAGCGTGAGTCTCAAGCCTCTGGGTCCAGGATTGGAACCATGATCAGCCATGTGAGAGTCCAGCAATGTAGCCATTACATCATCTGCTGGTCCCCTTCTGTGACCTTCTATAATATGTCATTTGAATTAAACTCATATGGCTCATAGGGATTTTATAATTTCTTACATTGTAGATGCAATGTACTATATCCCCTGTATAGTAATAAACTCCCAAAGGATAGGAACCATATCTCATGCAACTCTGTTACTTGCATAATCTCTGTAGGTGTCTTTCCCATTAAGATACTTAGAAAATGTCTGTGGAAGGAAAGAGTTGCAAGGAAGCAGGCCAGTACACAGGCTGGCTCTTTAAAAGCTAATTTTGATCAACCTCTAGATCAGTAGTTTCTGATCCTAATTGTTTATTTTTACTCAACTAGAAAATTATTTTAAAATAGAAATGCCACAGTGGCCAGCAGTGGTGTAGCGGCTACATCACTGGACTCCCACATGGCCGACCAGAGTTTGAGTCCTGGACTCTGTGGCTTGACAGTCATGCCAGGCACATGTGTGTGTGCCCAAGAGCCCAGGAGGAGAATGGAGGAGAAGGGATTGCAGAATGGCCATCCCCTCTGGGGAGTGATTTCTCACTTTCCCTCTTACTGTCTCTGTCTCTCTCCAGTGAGTGCATGTACCCCTTAAAAAATAGAAATGCCATACCTAACACCTAATATATTCAAAGCTGAGGAGGGGTGAGTTAGGTCTCCCACATCAACATACACTTTTTTTAAAGTTCCCCAGGTGATCTCCAAATCAGCAGCATCAGCATTTCTGGCTATTTGTTAGAAATATAAACTCTTGAGGCCAGCAAGTGGTGTAGTGACTAAAGCACTGGACTCCCACATAGTTGATCACAGTTCAAGTACAGGAACCAGGGGTTTAAAACTCTCACCAGGCAACAAAAACAGACAGGTGGACAAATGAAATAGAATAGAAACCCCAGAAATAACCCCCAAAGCTTATAGCCAACTGATTTTTGACAAAGGATACCAGTCAATCCATTGGGAAAAGGAAAACCTCTTTAGCAAATGGTACTGAAAAAACTAGATCTCCACCTGCAGAAAGATGAAACTGGATCCCCATCTTTCACCATTAACAAAAATTAACTCAGAATGGATCAAAGATCTGAACCTAAGACCTCAAACAATAAAACTCCTGGTAGAAAACACTGAGGAAACTCTGGGAGACATTGAGGTAGGCAAAGACTTCTTAAATAAGACTCCCAAAGCATAGGCGATAATCTCCAAAATAGACACATGGGATTATATCAGATTAAGAAGTTTCAGTACAGCAAAGGATACAGTAATTAGTATGAATCAACAAACCTCAGAATGGGAGAATATTTTTGTAAAATATGCCTCAGATAAAGGGCTAATGATCAGAATAAGGAACTCAAGCAGCTTGCCAGGAAAAAATAAATGACTAGCCCAATTAAAAGATGGGAAAATGAACTGAACAAAAAAACTCTCTAAAGAAGATATATGAACAGCCAAAAAGCATGTGAAGAAATGCCCAACATCCCTCATCGTAAGGGAGATGCAGATTAAAACCACCTAACCTCTGCCAGATGCAGATGAGATACCACCTAACCTCTGCCAGAATGGCAAAGATTAAAAATACAAAAAAATGATAAGTGTTGGTGGGATTGTGATAAAAGGGGAACTCTCCTACACTGTTGGTGGGAATGTAAATTGGTCCAGCCACTGTGGAAAACAATATGGAGGTTCCTCAAAGACCTACAGATAGAACCGTCATATTATACAGCAATCCCACTCCTGGGTGTCTACCCAAAGGACAGGAGAATGCTCAGTAGGAAATGTGCTTGCACACCAATGTTTATTGCGGCGTTATTCACAATTGCTAAGACATGGAACCAAACCAAATGTCCACAAACAGATGAATGGATTGGAAAAAGTGTGACACATATACTCTGTGGAATACTATTCAACCATAAAAAAACAAGACCCTGGCATTTGATAGGAAGTGGTCGAATATGGAAGATTAATTGCTGAAAGAGAGACATTATATGTTTCCACTTAATATATACCAACTGTCTGACCTGTATGGCAGAGATTGAAAGATTGGAGTGAAAATAGTTATGAACACTAGAACCAGGGTAGAAGGAGAGTGGGAGAGGGGAAGAGCACTGGAAAAGAAATCCAGGAGAAAAAATAGAGATGCAAGACATTTGTGAGACACAGAAATTATTTATTACCTGTTGATGATAACGTGTATAGTATTCTCGACTGGACTGATCTGAGGTATATTTAATGTTGGGTAAATTCTCTTTACAAGCCAAATGATGTATAATAATCTAATGTTTAAAATAATTAATAATAAAACAAAATAATTAAATAGAACTCATGCCAGGCATGTATGCATGTGTGCCCAAAATCCCAAGAGGAGAGTGGAGGAGAAGGGGTTGTGGCATGGCCATCCACCTGGGGGGTGATTTCTTGCTTTCTGTCTCTCTTTCTCTGTCTCTCTGGCGAGCATATGCAACCTATAGCAAAAAAATTCTCTCCCAAAAAAAAAAGAAAGAGAGAGAAAAAGAGAGAAAGAGAGAAAGAAAGAGAGAAAGAAAGAAAGAAAGAAAGAAAGAAAGAAAGAAAGAAAGAA